GCAGCGCGAACACGGTCTGCAGCAGGTAGCGGTGCCCCGGACTGACAGCTACTTTTCGCCCGCCAAATGTGCCAGGTGCCGGGGGCCATTCACAACTGAAGTCATGTGTGTGTGTGTGTGTGTGTGTGGTGCAGTCAGAGCCAGTCGGTGCCCAGTGCCACGCAGCGCCGCCGCAACATTGAGCGCTGACCTGCCTAGCACTGTGTCAATTCACGTAAATACATTAAAAATGCTACTTCCGGTACTCGCTTTCAAAATAAACCACGATATAGTTTCAACGTCCTCTGCAAAACGCGCCAACGAAAATAAAATTTGCTTAAATAATACATATGAAACCAATGCTAATAAATGTATTTCCATTTATAATATTTGTTCTGGACATCTCTTCTACATTTCCGGTATAGTATGTTTTCTCTGTCTAGCTTGACGAAATCCCTGGTTTACAGACGGTGCAAAGGAAAACATACAATGGGGGTGGAAGGCGGGCTTAGCCTATGCATTATTTATGATAAAATAAGGCACCGATACCTAAATCATTCATAATTATTCAAGAGAAACAAAGTCGATGCCAATCAAATTTCAATGTGTCTCCCCTGCAGATCATGGCATTTGACATTTTAAAATGATAGATGGGAAAGAGGTTGGCTAGCGTCCGGCATTATCTTGACCTCTTCCCAATCGGTCAATAAAATTACAGGCCTATCAGCCAGAATTACAATCAGAGATGTTGCATTGGGAAAAATTAACTACACGCAGAGCTTGATTGTGGAATACAAGTTAAATGGCTCTCTGCTGACCTAAATCACAATTAAACTATACATTGTTGGTTGAAAGGGCCATTCAAAAGGGAACATTTATATTGATTATATTAGTGGTTGTTATACTTGTTGTTATAATAAATGGCGGTCACAGTTTAAATACATTTTTGTATTTACCACCCCATTAGTGCTGATTACAAAATAAATGAATATGTGCTTAGCTGGCATGAGCTGTAATCTACTTATTCTCTTCTGTGTGATTAACTCACAATAAGTATTTTGATATGGGGGAAAGAGGAAGAACCGTTTATTGCAGTTGCCTCTATAAAGTGACTTGGGGTCACTTTGAGGTTTCAGCACAAATCTACAGCCTCTGTATATTTACCTCTGATTTGCAGGCTGTGTCTTATCCTGCTTCCTGTCAAAGAAAGTGCATAAAAAAATGCTGGGTCTACAGTTTTTATGACCTTTGTCCTCTTCAGTGTGAGGGTTGGTCGATGTATACAGTGACAACAAGAATTTATAAGAAAAATCTTTTTTCTACGTCACCTCACTTTTCACCCTTTGGCAACTTAACTGTACACAGCCATTGTATGTAATTTACTGTATGAGTAATTCTCACTTCTCAATTACTAAATTAAAGGAAGGTGTTTTATTATATCTAAAGAAGTGTGCAATATGTGTAAACCCGATAATTAACCTTTGGTCTTTTAAAATAGAAGTTAATCCTTTAATACCGCATTTGACAATTGCCAGGATAAAGACAAGCTAACATCCTACATCTCAGCCTCTATGTGATATATAACTAAATATATCCTTCGGTTGGCAGACAAAAGAAACCACCAAATGACATATTTGTGCTCTAAAATGTTCGCTCTGCAAACAGTAATGAGAAATACCTAAGGGAGGCCATGGAAACTGGCTTTGGTGCAGAGTTCCTGACAGTGTGTGTGTGTGTGCGTGCGTGCGTGCGTGCGTGCGTGCGTGCGTGCGTGCGTGCGTGATGGACGAGGTGGTCACAGATAACCTCAAGTGGTTACCCCCCCCCCAATACCGCACCTCCCACCTCTGCAAATGCTTCCACTGGCTTTGAATCAAATCCTTCCAGAGCTTTTTCTCTACCTCTCCTCTGCCTTCTCTTATACCTTCCCTCTGTCTGAATTTTTAAGAATGAAAACAGTAAAGGTGAGTGTGTGTGGCCCACTCTGCCTGCAACAGACTGCAGGGGGAGGTGAGATTAATGGGGCCTAACACAAGATTGCGGGGAGATCAGCAGTCGTAGGGAGCCAGAGAGGGACTCAATGAAGCCTGGCCCCGGATCTTCTGCTAATCTCCCGGAGCTCTAAGCAACTCTTAGATGTTATGCTAATGGCCACTGACAGATAACAGAGTCTGTACTATTATTAGTTATATATTTGGTCAGGAGGGGGTTGAGAATCAGACACTAGTCATACTTGTCTTTCCAACACCAAAAGCATTTAAAGAAAACATGGCTGAATCCTGCATCTGACAATAAGATGCTCACATCTGTCTGTCTGTCTGTATCAGTGAAAGGGAACATTACCTGGAGAGAAGCGCGGGTTGAGCACTCTGTGAGTACACTGCAGGAAATGATGGCTTCCCTCAGAGTACATGTCCCAGATTCACACAGAAGAATCAGTGTACCTGTGTGGGAGAAGAGGCATACATTATTATTGAGTACCCCAGAATTTCCATGAGGTGTTTTTCCTCGGATACACAGATGCAGCAAAGGCCATGCTATATGTGTAATTCACTATATTTTATGTAAACAAAATATTTCAGATGTTGGTATAAAGATTAGTGACCCACCCAACATGTAGAACGAGCAGATAGAAAATAGGGTTTTTAGTCTTTTCCAGTGTTTGAATAAAACAGTTAAAACATTTTGATAGTATTATTGCAACTCAGAATCTCACCAAACATACAGTAGCAACAGTAACCATAACAACTGTTGCTAGAGAGAGCCAGGCACATCCTTAAAGTTCCTTTGTTCAATCAGAATCAGAATACCTTTATTAGTCCGACAGAGGGGACATTTACTTATTTATTTATTTCTGCAGTTTATGCAGCCATTAACAACCTTTTTGCGCAAGTTTTCTTCCCCTTATGATCCATGCCATAAGGCCATGCTATATGTGTAATTCAGTATATTTTATGTAAACAAAATATTTCAGATGTTGACAGCAGAAAAGAACCAAAGACAGCGTAATGTTGCCAAAGCATGCATACAAAAGTACTAAAGATAAAAAAAAGAAATTATAATAAAAAAGTTACAAGTCAGCTTAAAATAAACTCCCTAAAGACTTCATGACAACAAGAAAACAAACATGCTGTTTTTTGTTTACATCTCTATGGGCGAACATCAGTTATAAAGACGTGCATATTACCTGTATTTCCATGGAAACCCGTCATTTAAAAAAACGAAAAAATAGCATGGAGGTTTACAGCAGCAGTCAACTTTACTTTTTCCTGTAACTGCCTTCATCGCTCCGTATAAAGAGTGAGTCGACGCTGGTGGTACATATACAAACATATATATTGCTGTGTTACTACAACTATTGTTATATAGATTACCCTATTTTTCAGATGACACAGGTACAGTTAACGTAATGCAACGTTTAATGTAGGTTGAGGGAGCTAGCAGCATGAGGCTAGAAGAGTTAGCAGATTAGCTTGAAAGTCTACAGTACGAATATTTTAACACGTTTACTGTATGTTACTGTACTTACGTTCTAACATGCAATGCTAGGTATCTAGGGCGTTATATTTACTATTTATACACGAGAAATAGAACAATATACAGCATATCCTAAACCAATTTACTTATTTATATTGGACCTTGGTCGGAGTCATGTTGGCGGTACCGTCTTCACAACTTCAACTTTTAGCTTATCTCGCAACTAAAGGAGGCACCACCTTGTGGCACTATTTGGTATTGGAGTAATATAACTTTAATGTTTTGACCATTGGTTTTGACATTACATTTAATTTAGCTGACGTTTTACACAAAGCAATTTAGAAGAAGTGCAATAACTTGAATCATGCATTACATTAGCTCCAAATAAGATGAACATTTAAAAGTGCTACGTACAGTTATTTATATATATATATATATTTATCTAATGAATTTAACAAAATAATACTCAGGTGTTTTATTATGTTTGCTAAACAAACATCCCGGGCCAAAAACATTTGAACACTTGAAAATTATAGTTTGTAAACTGTTTATGAACGGGGGGGGGGGGGGCTATTCACAAGTTGTTACCTTAACCTGTGGATTACTGTATGTCTGAGGTTGTAACATTACCCTGACACAGTGAAAACACCTGACAAGATAAAGGTGTTACACCTTGCTATCTTACTTTTCCTATGATCATTTCACACCTGAGCCTGCAAATGTTCTTCCACACGTGCCAGCTGCCATCTGTTATGTTGGTATGACATCCCGAACATTGTAAACTACTTTGTGTTTCAGCGTTGTACCTCAAATCTGAAAGCGACTGATCCTTGAAACCTCAGTGAACCTGAAGATGTTTTGGTTCAGAAAGAAAAAACGGGATTCAGCCCTTCAGGTACTGAAAGCTGCTGTGTAGTTTAACATTAAACCTTCCTCCTTCTGCATCGCTTGTCTCACTGCCTCGGTTAACTGTGTCATAATCAGGGTCAAAGGTTGGACAGAGAGAAAGTAAATACAGAGGCTAAAGAAGAGATTCCTAGCATGCAGGCTTCTTCAACACTATCACCGACTGTGTCACCTGAAAGAAGTGCCTCAAAGGTGACTAAACAACCTAATCGTACACCATTGGTAGAGATACCACCAGCTGTTGAACATTTCTACAGCATTTTACCCAGTGATTGCTACATGTCAATGATCTCATGACATCTTTCAACACTGAGTTTCGGTATAGCCGCATCTTTTACCCCTCTGAAGTGAAACAGATTTATTCTCCAAATAATTTTTGCTTGCAGCTGAAGTCGTCCCCCTGCAGCTCTGTGAGAAGTGCTTGTTTAGAGACAGGCCGCCCATGCCTTAGTGGGAGAATGGACTTTGTTGAAGCTGACTCCATTGTTTCCCAGAACTTGACCGCAGAGCTGGCAACAACATCAAAGTCCCCCCTGGAATCCAGATGTAAGTTTTCTTGGGTACATTTTACACTGCAGGTGGTTAAGCAATACGTCCATTTCTCACAGTACCTTGAATACATTTATTTTCTCAAGCACCTAACTTTTTAATGAACTGTTATTTGATATCTGCTGTGATGTGTTTTTCTTGCGTCTCCTTTCTGCGTAGTGAACGGAGAGAGTCTTGTGCACTCTCACAACAAGCACAGGTGCGAGCATGTTAAAGACGGAGGATTAAATGGATCCACCCAGGGGGAGGCAAGCGGGCAAACACAAAGCCCAGACTTCCTCAGGAGAAATAGCAAGATGAAACGCCTTTGTAACAAAACAAACACTGAGGAGATCATAGACAGTGAGCGCCCCGCCAGTACGGAGACTCAAGACGGCTTCCTGGGAGAGACCACCGCTGTGCCACATCTGTGCCCGGCTGATACACTTTCCAGGGAATTTGAGGACGAGGACGAGGAGGAGCAGGAGGAGGACGAGGAGGAGCAGCAGGAGGATGAGGAGGAGGACGAGGAAGACGATGACATATTAGCTTCCTGGGAGAAATCAGCTAGAGTTCATTATTCAAACTTAGCATCAACAGATACACCTGCTTGTTTTTATAGACGCCTCGGTTTTCTCGTTGATCAATTAAGGCCACCTGGTCTTCAACCTTACACCACGGCATGGCAGGCTTTCAATGAGGCCAGGCCGGGGACTTCTGCACTGCTAAATAATCTGCCTGTGGATGATAAGAAGCTGCTTACTGATATTAAAGAGAACACTTCACACGAAAAACACGTTCAAGAAAGTCAAGCAGCCCAGGAAGGGGCTACAGCTGCCCAAAGCCCCCTGTCTCTAAGAGATATCATCAAAGAGACGGTATGCAGACTCAACAAAAGGTGATCGTATGATGAATACTTTTTAGTAGAACATGTTTGCCTAACTGCAGAAGTTTGGACCTAGCTAAAGGCCTGTGCTACTTTTTTAAATTGTATTTTATTTTTAAATGTTAATTTAAGGCTGCCTTAGAAACATTTTGAAAGGATTTCCTTAGGACGTTGTAAGGAATACCCTTTGAGCTCTTAGTGTTAATCCCCGATGCATTTCTAGAAGGAGAAGAAAGCCTTAATAGGCGTTCCACGAAAAGATGTAAGGACCCAAAATTGAAATAGTGTGTTGAACATGAGACAATGGTACCACGACGCATTTTTCCTGAGACACCCAAAAAGAAATCTGTCTATCTTTAAAATGTATTTTATATATATAAAATAATAACTTTCGTGAAAGACTTAGTGCAAACAATTAGGCAAAGAAACAACCTTTATGCAACACACCTGAGGAAATATTTCACAAAAAGCTTATAACCTTATTTGTAACCCCAGAATATTTTTAATTTATTTAATTGAAAAAAAAGGTCTCATCTTGATTCAGATTTGTATACAAGGCTAAGGGTATACCATTTTGTCGAAATGAATTGTGTGGTTGTCTTCTTCTCTCTGAAGGTTATCAGATGAGTCAACTGAGGAGGAAGAAGAGGACCAGTGTCGGGTCTGCCACGGTGTCAACACTTCACCAGAAAACCCACTGGTGTCACCGTGCAAGTGTAGAGGAAGCGTGCGCCACCTTCACCTCGACTGCCTGAAGCAATGGACCAGGTCAAGAATCGAGAGGGGTGAGTAGAAAGCTAATGGCAGAACAAGAAGAATATTATCCCAAAGAAGCGCAAAATATGATATATTCAGTGATCCTGGTTAATGCGTTAATGCATACTGTATCCACTTTTTCAGGAACAGGGCCCTATACAGTCACAACATGTGAACTCTGTAAGGGTTGGCTGAAATTGGACCCGAAATTACTTGACTTTAACAAGTATTATCAGGAACATAAGCCAAAGGTAAACTGACACAGAATCACTTTTTTTAACTGCTCCTCCTAAACGGGCCCTATTATGCTTCTTTGGGTTTTCCCTCACCTGAAGTGTTTGATATAGTTGTTGGTGTGTGTAAATAGTCTGCATAGGCTAAAACCCCAAAGTTCCCTACAGAGGGAGTTTTCTCTCCTTTATTTACTTCTGCAACATACTATCATCACTACGTAACACTTGCACTTCTATTGGCTTGCACTCCAACACATTGTACGTGACAGGCTAAACAGCGAGACATTTCTAAGCTGTTCACAAATCACAACAGAGCCGGTCAGCTAAGAGGGAGAAGAGGTGCTGCAGCACAGGCAGTATGAAAAAATACCTTTTTGAACATTAAAGCATGTTAACATGTCACAGTAGAGGCACACCTGAAGATGAGCATAATAAGGCCCCTTTTAGTAGGAACTTTTATGAATGTAATCTTTTTATTGAGCATTTTTTGTCTTAATCTCACCTTTATTTTTAGTTGGACATTGCTGTCCAGAACACTCCCCACGATGAAGCTGAATCGTCCCCCCTCAGGGCTGTACTAACAGTGAGGATGACACAGTCCTGCCCCCTCTCCGTGGTAACGGACTATAGTGAGACCTTGTGAACATTTATGAGCTGATGTTTTACAGCTTTTTGTTATACAGAGTTTTAAATAAATGAGTTTGTGTCTTATATTTGAACAGTTCTGTGATTTTAATGTATGCACCAGTTTGTCTTTGTACTGTTTCTTGTCTATTTGTATATTGATGTGTTAAGGACAGCACTGCAAATTATCTAACAAAATATTAAAGCTGTGGTGTGTGGAATTGAAGTTAAAATACAATTGAAGAAATTGATATGAATTGATATGCTGTATTGAATTGAAATGAACATTAGTGATCAAAGGGTTTTATGAATTCTGTCTTCACGTAAGATATGTGGGATGGTTCCCTAACTAATAAGGTCGAGACTCAGAGAGAGGACGAGGTCTGCCTCAGAGTCATCAGACACTTGACTCCTTTTCCTTTTGTTACATCGTGTCTGTTTTCAAACTAATATTACTGTAACAATATACAACTATGCATCTAAATCAAGTGAATGGATCAATGTTGTAAAGTAAATGTAAGCCAAGGCGAAACACAGTGTATTACGATTCATTTTAATACTATCCATGACATTTATCAAAATATCATGTGTTAAGATATTTGTTTTGTAAACTGACCTCTGTATTTTGGGTTCTTTGGAACCATTTTATCACGTGAGGTATTTCAATACACTTAGGTACATGTTGTTCTTCTACAACTTCCACAAACTAATATCAAACCTAACATAAACAGTAGGAGTATAAAGCTGGATTCAGTGAACATGTGTTGTAAAGACTCAATTGGATGTTACAATGTGCATCAAGGTCACATGAGCAAAATCCCTGATGCTCCTTTCTGAGATTCCTGTGATGTGGCTCAGTTCTCCCACTATCTGAAACACATGAGAAAGCCCACTTTGACAAAAACAATATAAGCATTAACTCAACTTTGATAAGGTAGATTACTGCTTTGATATGGCTGAACATTATATCCACAAGTTGCATATTTAAAACACTGAAATACTATTAAAACTTTAAAAGTGTTTCACTTGTTCCCATGTTCTGTTATGGAGGACGAACGTAGCCACGGCGATGACACCAACTCCAAGAAGCATGCAGTCTTCAGTCACTGTCACAAACTTCTCTCTGTTTAAAGAGGTTACAATCCATATGTTTTACATTAACAATGGACTAATTGACAAATGAGGATGCTGTAGTGATGAAACCACAGAGTTAACACCTGGCTCTCTGAGTTCTCCTACTTTATAATGACCTTCAGCATGTTTTGGAATAGTGTGCTAATATATAGAGTTGTTCTAGCCACAGCAGGCTGCTACTTCCAGTAAGAAATCACCAACAACTCACCAATATCTGCTTCTACAGATAATAACAGAGCTGTGTGTATATTGAAAATGTTTGCTTACATGTTCACCATACTAACTTTAAAGTTGTCAGCATGCTTCATAATCTACAGCACAGTACTACTCCAGAGTTTCAGGCTGTCATAATTGAACAGCTCTATTTGCAGGGGGTTGAAAGCTTTGACAAACATGATGACACAAGACACATTTTGAAACCAAAACAACTGACAGTTCTCAGCTGGTCGTTGTCTAACCAACTGCCAGTCAAGCTGCTTGTCCCCTCTACCATGACAGTGAGCACCTGTTCAAAAAACATCAGAAAAGGCTTCTCGAAGTGCAGTGTAATACCTCTGTTCTCTGGGAGGGCTCACACACTGAGTGGTCGTCACTAACAACGAGTCGAAGATGGCGGTCCGCTGCAGGCTGACGAACTGGAGAACGTGCTGACACAGCAGATGCAGACGCTCCACAGGGATGGACGGCTCATTGTGTCCTAGGAAAGTTTAGTCACCTCTTTCACTGCTCAATGGATACGACTTGATTTGATTTTCTTACAGTCTTACACTTCACCTATGTTGCTCTAAGTTTAAAAATCATATCTTACCAAGCACTTCCAGAAGGATTTCCACAAATGACAGAGGGTTAGTAGCATTTAGTTTATATTCCAGCCCTTTGAGGACCACCAGCTCTGACTCCAGGAGAGCCTGCTTGGAAACATCGTGGCCGACTGAATGCAGAAAGCGCACTGCAGTGTTGTTGTCGATTATCTAGGAGAATGATTGCATCGATAACGTCTTTCAGAATACTGGAAGGATAAATATAAAACTCACATTTAGGTGTTTATTCGACTACACTTTGACTGTTCGGGTTAGCACACACCCTTAATTCACCAAAGTTCCCTTCAGATAAAGCCGCATCTGCATATTTAAACATTACAGTTCAGAAGTATTGTACAGAAGTTTTAAATTGGCCTAGACATGTTGTTATCATATTCACCTGTAGTAACAAGTAACATGTAATGTAATGTAGTACCTTGCAAAATGTATGGAATTCTGTTCTGTTCAAGCCTACCTTTTATTTAAATCTGCACAGCTCTCCACTTCACATATTTATTTTTAAATATATAAATATGTTGTTATAGTATTTTGTCCTAAATTACTCTCCTTGTTTGCATATTTATGTTTTGTGAAAAATATCTATCTATATTTTAAATGTTATAATAGTTTTTTAAATAGTTTTATTATAGTTATACTTTTGGCCCTTTCTCTTAAAATGTATTTTCTTATTATGCTTCTGGTTCTGATTTTACAAAACATATGTCTAAAGATTGTTTTCCCTAAATGAGTGTTTTCTCATACTCTGAGCCAGTGTTATTATATGTGTGTAATGGCTGGTGATACCCTTAATAAGGGTATTTATCTATGGTACTTACATGGCTATGCAAAGAGAGTTTGCTTGCTATTTGCACGCAGGTGAAGACAATGAAGGGGAATTTCTCCTTGAGCTTTTCAAACACAGCATCCTCATAACTTCCGGGTTGATCGGCAGCTGCTCCTTGAGGTGTGGGTGTGGCCAACAAATCTGTCAGGTGCTTCACCATGAACCTGGGGGAGATAAGTTATTCAAATAAAAGCTAAACCAATATCATTATGGGTGTGGTGGGGAAAGGCTATTGCGCTGCTCTGTATTACCTTTGGAGTAATTCGATGGCATGGTATCCAGCCAGCGGGTCGAGTCTTAGCTCTTTAGTTATCAGGAAGATGTATTCTGAGAGAAAGGTATAGGGTAAAAAAACTAACAAATATACACTTAGTAACTATGTACTTTACAGACTCAGTGAAATACCTCAAATATACTATAAATGATCATGTGTTATTATGGATTCAGATCCCACGGCTAGATTTAACATATTCTGTTCCTAAATGGGCCAATTTGTGTAATGAGTACTTACCTGGAGGACACATTTGAATGCACTTTTACTTGTAACAGAGTGTTTTATTGGTATTTGGATAAATAATCAGCGTACTTTCACCACTGGAGATTGTTTTGTAAAACGAGATCAAAATAATAAAATTCGAGACAATACTCTCCAGATATTGTTTGTCGTTCGCAAAGTAAAATAACAAATGGGCTCAGGTGGTCCACTAAATACAGGAAAATAAGTCCTGGAAACATTGTACAACAACAAATATTAATATTGATTCTTTTTTTTTCTTATATAGAATTGCGTGAAAACAGCTGAGAAGACATTGAATACAACCACCAATTGCAACCATGCAGAGTTCTTAATACTGTCTTCCTTCTGGGTGGCAAACATCTGACTCAACTCAGTTTCAAAGAGGCAATATCTGACATAAATGTATGCAAAACTTCTATTTCAGCATTTCAATTACATAGGTCTATTATAGGTCTAAAGCTAAAAAAACTCCTCTACTTTCCATCTGCTCCTCCTCACTGGGAGGTACAGTCTGCCGAGGTGAATCTGCTCCCTGGAGGACTTTGTATTGAGAATTGGCTTCTATAATAACAGGGCTCACATTACCAGGAGGGTAACATATAAAAGAGTGTGATGACAGGGTACAGTGAAGAAGGCCTGTACAGCTTAATCAATCCCACCTGCTGACACATTTATTAACACTATTGCAAAATGAGACAATCTGAGCCTCAGGTGAAATAATTACAGAATGGCAACTAGTATATTAATAACAGCCGTTCTTATGTGCAGTAACTGTGGGCTAAACAGTAGCGACCATAGAATTTGATATATTCATTTATCACAGCACAGTGGAGACGACTGTAGCAGTGAATACAGCTTACAAATATTTAGTTAAAAGGAAATACATCTATTTTGCTATAAGCAGTGGTGGAACAAGTATTTAGATGCTTTACTTTAAAGTACCAATACATTGTTGTCAAAATAATTAATTACAAGTAAAAGTCCTGCATTCAAAATCGTACTTAAGTTAAAGTACACAAGTAATATCAGCAAAATGTACTTAAAGTATAACAAGTAAAAGTAAAGGCCTTTATGTGTGTATATTTATATATGTATGTGACATTTCTAAATGGTATTGTTGCATCAAATAGCATTTCACTGTTGTAGACAAACAAAGTTCTGATTCACTTTTTGTAAAATGTTTAAATAATTGTACTCTTTTGTGACCCAGAGCCCACTAGTTTAATTTTTGGAGATGCATTTTGTCAAAAGTATACAAAGCTGTTTATGTAGTGGAGTACAATTACATTATTTCCCTTTTAAATGTAGTGGAGTAGAAGTATAAAGTTGCATACAATGGAAATACTCAAGTACAAGTACCTCACAGTTCTGCTTAAGTATAGTACTTGTCTACTTAGTTACTTCCCACCTCTGGCTATAAGGAGGTTATAGCTACACACTAATGGTCTCAACTGTGTGTGATAAAGGGGAATAAACGTCTCCAAAATGACGGTTTTATATCTGACGTTTGCCTCATACTGGTTTAAAATCGGCAAAATTACCGTTGTACACAAACATTTCTAAATAAAACACTAGCGCTTTTGTAGACAAATGTATGAAGTTGTTTTAAAACAAGCGAAAATTCTTAAATAATAAACTGCTAATGTTAGCTCTCAGTGGTAGGTTATAGGCTAGTTACTTACCCATTAGTCTTTTATCTTTGAAGTTTCCGCTACATTTAGATAAACTGTTGATGTTATCTTTGTTCTTTTTGTTGAGATTAACAAGGAAATCTGTTAGAAGGTCAAAAGAAGCTTCTCGAAACTTAACATTTTTACTTTGGCTTGGCGAACAGAAGAAATGTTTCGCCATTGTACTAACACTCGTCTTAAACTGTTACAAACAAGTAAATAGCAAGAAACGTGTTCACTGTTGCCAAAAATAAATTGGGCCTTTATCTCATATTTCCCGGAAGATGGCGCTATTCACACGCATTCCACACCCTAGGACCAATTCAACGGTAGGAACCATATAACTGCCGTTGGGGCTAATTTGGATGAAACACCATTCTGTTTCGTAAATTCGTTTGCGCAGTACTGGGTGGCTCCTCTAGTGCTGCTGAGCGCTGATCTCACAACATAGGGATGGGGTACTCACAACAGTGAATACCCGCCTCCAGACCTGTATATCAGTGAAACGCAGCTGCTCGTATTACGGATGTGAGAAGCAACCTTGCATTCAATCCCATTCACTTCAAACATGGCTGACAAGATACCACAGGAGTCCGGTGCTCGCTTTGCAACAAGGATAGACATTTCAAAACCGGGTCTTACTCGAGAACAAATGTATTTTATCCGACATATAGAGGTCGAACAGTTGAAGAAGAAGACGCAGATGCTACGGACTCGAAATGTAGTGACGGGACTCGCCATTGGAGCCATCGTTGTGGGAATTTGTATCCTTGCCAAGCACACTAACGTCAACACAAGGTGAACTATGTAACGTTAGCCTAGCATGCTAACGTTACCCAAGCCCAAGGGTTGTTCGATAACACAATGTAAAGCTATGAGCTAGCATGTGGTCCTTTTTTGAGTTAAATTATTTGATGGGCTTGTAGATGTAGCTTGTTTTTAGTAAGGCGCTCAGTTTTTTTTCTTTCATTTTGATGCTACCATGTCGGCTATGACAGGTAATTTAAATGGAAAGGTGTTTATGAGCCTATTAACAAATTACAGGTTAAGTGATGCATCTTTAAAATCTTGTAACAACTGATTAATAAGCATTAAATGTTAGTCACTGTACTCTCTAAATGTTCCCAAGTTACAGCTTCTTTATTAAGGCAGGCTAGGGAAGATGAGCCACGGTAGGTCGGTCTCCTTGATGGTTTCCTGGTGTTACATTAACTTGTATCCGACTACGGATACGTCAGTGGGTACTTTTGATGGCAGATGCCTGCCGAATGCCTGCTTGTTGACTTTACACCGAGACATCAATAATACACCTATTTTGTTTACCTGCAGTCTTAACTAAAAGCACATGTTTGTCAGTAAAGGAAAATGGACATGAAGACATAAGGGTTAGACCTGATAGAAAATGTAATTTACTTACTATCATAATATCAATCTACCATGGCCATCTTCTAGTCTTATCATGCTTTACGTTTTACCCCCCATTTTTTCCCCTGTCCTGCGTAGGCTACTATTTTCACTCTTTTTTAAAAATCAATTATACTTGATTTTATAGAGTTTAATTAGGCCAATTCTCCAAGTGCAGATCAAAATCAAGCAATTGCATACAAACGTGGCAAATATTTTTCCTTAACCACTTGCTCCCCTGCTAGACGGCTACACATTTTTCTCAGTGTCCCAGGAGAAGATAATGGATGAAATGGATGAAGAGGCTAAACGTGCAAGACTGCAGGGACCAAAGACCGGAGCCAACTGAGACGCATGCATCGCCTGCCTGTTGGACTGTGTGTGTGTCCTGAACAGACAAGGGACTTATGTGGACACTGAAGCCACTGATTTATATTCCATGGCCGGGGGCTGTTTTCCATGTTGAGACGGCAGTGGACTTGTTGGTTGTTGATTGTGAAGATGATATTTTGTTGCCGACTTGTAACTTGTGTCTTTTTGATTAAGTTTGCCTGTCAGTGGAAAGGAAGAATCCACTGGCCTTAAATGTTACCCATAAGGCCACACTGTAGAGTAATAAACCCCATACCGAACAAGTGTCCAGCTCTTATCATGTGATGTGTATACACTTTAAGGAGAATATCTGAAATTTCAGTCAGCTAATGTTAAATCTACAGTGGCCTTTTAACAGCGGAGAAACACCAGGGACATGAATTAACCTGAAACATTTGTCAATTAAATGCTTATCTGTAAAATAAAAATATAATGTATATGATTTGCTTTTAACACAATGCCTGTGTAGCTATTTATGAGAGAACAAGACACTGGGTGAAGCCGTAAAGGTGACAAGAGCCGTGGTATTTACATTTGCATTTATTTTTTGTCAACATTTGATACATGGGGTCTGATCTAGCCACCAAATCTCAAGAGTAAAAATATAAAATAAGACATCAGAGAAAGGCACAGATTCAGCATGGCAGGACAGCAGCAGCTTCAGAAAGCAACACAAATATATATCTATATTCAAACTTTTTAAACTTCTTAAAATATATTATGAACTTCGGAAAATCTTACAGGTGTCTCACTGCCAAAAAGTTCAGTGTGAATATTTTATAAGGCAACTGCATTCACAGCTTGGACTGATGTCTCCATTTCCCACAATGCACTAATTATTCAGAACTGCAGGAGGGTAGATCGTCGTTGCTGTGATCAAACATAAACTGGAAATATTCTCTACCTCCCTGGTGGAAAAATAATATGAAAATATCAGCTCTTCATTGACAGTTTTATCCACAAATGCATTAAAATGATTGAACTAAAGTGCACAAGGTGCTTGATCTAGGGAACAAGCAATGCTTTTTGCTTGAGCAGGAATCAAGGTTGCCATGTTTAGTTTACTTGTAAACATGATCTATAAAGGCATTCTACTATTTACACATGTACAATCAACAGGAAAGCCAGTAGTCTAAAATCTAAGGTGGATTTTTCACAAATCATCAATGAAAAAACATTTTTAATTAAACCATCTGTGGTACTTGAAAAGCATAGTGTGATGTTGTGTTTGCTAAAGTCTTCTGCAAAGCTTTTCCAACAAGCATGCCAACAACATTTATAACTGTTGTACGACTGTTCATTGATATAATCGATATCGCCTTATTGTGTTGCTGCACAATGTGAAAATTCATTTCGGTACATCTAAAAATGCCAGGAATGCGGTCAAACTTCTCCACGCTGATTATGGAAAATATAAGCCATCCTATCACCAAAGAAATCAGAAGATGTACTACAGGAACAATGTTTTAAAAAATACACATTTGGTTCACAATACTGTGCTCAGATTGATAAAGGGCAGTGAATCAGACAAGCAGGAAAATAAGTTTAGTTTCTTTCTGAACCGTGTATTTACAAGAAAGCAATAATGATTTTTAACATGAAGTGATTCTGTTCTTCAGCTGCAACAAATTCACGAGAGCTAACGGAGGGCTGAAAGCTGGATGTTACAGTTCCTGGCTAAATCCAGCATCACTGATTAAAGTTTGTATATATTCTTTTATATATACGTTGAGGTAAATGACCACTGGCAGAGGGAAGCAGTTTGCTGACGGGTGTGCCAGTGAAAGTGTTGAAGCGATCCACCTGCAGGACGGGTTTGACCGCTGCAGTCACACTTCAGATGAGGTAGTCCACAAACACAGCGTGCTCGGCTGAGTTCATTACTAGGAAACAAGGAAGAAGATATGAAGAAGTAAGTATAAACATTGTTTAGGTAACATTTAAGAAAATAATATATATAATAAGTCATTTGAAATGTATCAATGCAATTTTGACTCACCATTCTACTAATGTCAGTGGCAAAGGTAACGCCTTTGCTGGGTTTATCCTGGGAGCCGCTGCTGCTGCCTCCAAGGGAGTTTCTCCTAATGATACCTGGTGGAACAAACATGTGTTATAATAAAAGCCGTTCAGACATAAGGCTGTTCACGAGCGGATCCTAGAAATGTTCATGGGGTTGGACGGAGAAATATATACTGTACAAGCAGATTCTTTGTGGTCTAAATGTGGTCATAAGAGATCACTACAATTATACAGTATATGTTAATTATTGGCATGCTATATTTAAATATGAATTATTGCATTCTATTTGACAGCCTTAATAGTACAAACAAATACTAAAAGCCAATATTAACCCCTCTGCTGCATAAAATGAGACCAAAGCAAGCCTAAGACACTATGAATTGACTGAGTTAAATGCACTTTATATAATTAAGTGACTTGCCCCACTGCAAAACACTGTGAGAACAGCAGGGGCCACCAAAGCTATGCAGAGACTATGTCAAATAACAAGTTTTTCATTTGTATATACTTTTATATAAATAGGGCTGAGAAAAATGATAACAAATACTATCAAATGTACAATATGGTATGGAAGTGGAACACCAAAAATTCCTAGGAACTTCAGTTGTTTGATAAAATAATAGAACGAAGATAAACCATTATAATGTTGCTGTGCTACAGAGAGGCTGTGAAACCAGGTAATACGAGTGGATATCCCTGCTGACCTTGGGGGGGCAGAATGTCCAGGCGCTGCAGGCTGTTCCTGCGGGACGAGGGGAAGCCGCTCCCCTTGGACAGGCGGCGCTGCCGGCTGGACAGCATGGTGGCAGGACAGACGATGCCCGGGGGGGGCACCTTCCCCATCCTCTCATACAGCTCCTCTATCTCTCTCTTCTGGGCCGCCTGCAGGGCCTGCACCTCCATCAGGTGTCTGAGCAGGGACACAAGGTAACAACTGTTAGTGGTCGAAGGTTCCTTAGGTTATTAAATAAGTAAACACGGGTAGGCCTTAAATCCTTGAAGAAATGTGACGAAGTTAGATTATGTAATAACAATTACAAAACCTGTGTAAAGACTGGATTCTTGAGGGGTTTCATGAAGTTACATTTTTTAACAGTCAGTATCAGTTGTTTTATTATCTGGTTTACACCTACAAAACCCTTTGTTTCCTTATTTGAAATTTCAGAAGCTGTGTTGTCTTTCTTTTAAAGGAATACTTTTCACTCCAAATATGATCATTTGCATATCAACCTCTTACCCTATGTGACCTTAAATTATTGATGAGAACTTTCACATGCCTGATGTGTTGATATAGTCATGCTGTTGCTGTTAAACACGGCACCCATTTACTGGGACATCTCTCAGTTTTGGATTCTTTATTCACCTTGGAGGTGGAAAACATAT